TTTTTTTCTTTTTTTTTTTAAGGGGCTCTATAATATTGTCCCGAATGGTATGCTTGGCCCTGTGTATACACATTGCGTCTGCTTGTGTGCACATATTTTGTAGTTTTTTTTCGCCTCCTTTTGGCCATCTTTTGGCTTTCTTTTGGCTTTCTTTTGGCCCCTCTTTTGGCCTTCTTTTTGTGCAATTTTGTTTCTTCCTGCGCACACAGCCGGCATCCTCGAAAAGGTTCCACTATATTGGTAAAAGCTATATATGATTTTTATTACCAGAAGGAATACGTTGTCTGCACGAGTGTGAATTATTTTTAATAAGTCATTTTGTCAATTTTTTTAACCCGAAGGGGCGAGCTTCCTTCCGTGGCAGTGTTATCCCCACGTGGGTGCGCTTCACGAGTGTGTCATTGGTGGGTTAGCAGCTCGTCATTGGTGCTTTACTGTTGCATTACTGGCGCGTTACCATCTTGTTGTCGTGCGATTTTGTAACGGCTGCTAGCGACGCGCCTTTATTCGAGGCCAGCAGTTGAGCGCGCGAAACTTCCATTTGCCCTCCGCGGACGTGGCGACGCCCATTTGGGCCGTTCGCATACATTTTGTACACCTCGCTTTGGACTTCCTATTTTCCGTTACTCCCACCCCCAAAACGGCCAAAATGATTTCGCGCATGTCGGTCAGAACACACACCCAGTCGGAAACGCTAACGAAGCAGGACTCAGTGAACATGCTAAAAAATATAATCAAACTGGGGATCAGTTTAGTCACCTATTTACGAAATTTATTTGAAGAAAGTGCCTATGAAGAAGTACACATCCAAGAATTAAAATTAAAGAGACTTCTACCCATAAACCGAGAAGCACATATGATAATTAATTGGCTTGAAAAAGGAGTATTCGACGCTATAGAAAAAGAATACTTACGAATTCTAATCTTAGACATAAATGACATATATGATAACTCCATCGAATGCTATAAATTTAGTTTTTCCTACAACTCTATTAGGGGTGGAAAAATTGGGATCACATTGGAGACGTCGAAAAATAATCCCAATAAAGTATGCACAGATAGCCAAATGGAAGAAAAAAGAAAAAATTTTAATCTCAACAGGTTGAAAGATATAAAAGACAGATTACTAAATAGGAAGAAGACAAACAAAGAAACTGCTTTATGCTTTAAAAAAGACGCAAAACAGAATACCTATGAGTTGTTAAGATCCTTAGTATTACTCACACAGACGTTAAATCCTTTACCTGAGCGAACGTACCTCTCGATGAAGCTGCTTTACTATGATGAAATCGTTCCGTACAATTATCAGCCCCCGTACTTTAGAAATCCAGATAGCAAAGATCTACTAAAATTTGTTAATCTCCCCAATGAGGACTATGTTGGAAAGGTGGATACGGGTCATCACTACCTTTCCATTGTTGTCAATTCTACTACTGCCAGTAATGAACAACAGGTGAGTTCCTACAACGGCAGCGAGATGGACAATCGGGATATGACCAATTCAAACCGCCGTCCGTACGGAAAAATAGCAGATGGGGATTACTACCAATATAATAGAGAAGGGGAACATCCCACGAGAGCGAAAAATCAGGACAATTTTGACGGAGGTCACCATGGTGATTCTCACCATCACCAGGATCATGATCTGAATAAACACGCGGCTGGTCGAAGCGAAAACCGATACAAGCAAGCCAAGTACGAGGAAGATAGACGGGCCTTCCTGAAGAAGAGATTAGTGAAAAGCAGAAACAAAGGAAACGATAAGAAGCACTGCATCGTCATCGATGATGACGATTTTGCAGAGGAAGAAGAAGATGAAGAGGACGATGATGCACACGATGATGAAGACGATGACAGTGCTCCTGCTGATGAAGAAGACGTAGAATGGCATAATGGCACCATCCGAGGTGGTGCTGATAATCGCACAGGTCACACTCGTAATCGACTGGAGAATCGCTACGAGGACGAGCGAGACGCCTACTATGATTATTCTGATGAATATGACGACGACACTGAGGAAGATTACGACGATACGGAGGAAGATGACTCCCAGGTTAATTACGAATACCACGAGGAATACTCCAGTCTGAGCGATGAACGGTCGAATAAACGAAGCAAAAGGAGTTGCAAAAAAATTGGAACAAAAAAGAAAAGAAAGTTATCGCCATATTCATCAGATAGCAGAATGAATGAGCAAATATCAGCATCGCTAGTCAGAGTCATCAAATGCAGTAACGACCAAGACTATAGTAGTAGCTCGGATAATAACGAATGCTACAGCAAAATAGGACAAATGCTCTCCGAGACAAACAAAGATGCAGATGAACATGATTGTGTAAAGGTTGAGAAGAGAGAAATAGAAGACGGTAAGAGAAAGAAAAACAAATACGGGGTTAACAATAAAAGCGAACCGAGAAATTGCTACTATAGTAGTAACCCCTACAGGAGGAACATCGACAAAATGACTACCCGATTGTATGATAATTCCTGTGCCAATAATGCCCCATATAGCAACACAAATGGGAAAGCTACCAACGAACTGAATAAGCCCTACGGAATTCAAAACAATTCCAAGCCTAATACCAGTCGTTTGTATTCTTCCTATCGAGTGGACGATGCGAAGGCACACCTTGACAAGGATAGAGACAGGAATCGAGAGAGGGAGCGCTCCCAAAATAGGGAAAGCTACATCAAAACACACAAAGATAACTTTCTCATGAAAAAGAGAAGAGAAAAAAAAGAAAAATTAACCCACAAAAATTTAAAAAACAATAAATCGATGGAGAAAACATTCATGGTTAAATATAAAAAGAAGAAGATCCTTCACAAAATAAGACTACACATCATTAGATATAAAATTCTGAGCAATACAAAGATAAAGCAGAGGTTTCCCAGTGTGTCCAACTACGACATTGACAGAGTTTTCAATAAGCTGGTCAAGGAAAACATCATTCACAAGAACGGATGCAAGTTTTATAAGTTCGTTGAAGATAAGAGCGATGGGAAGGAGCGCTTAGAGAAGAAGCACGATGGGGAGGCAGGCCTCGCGCAGATGGATCAGAAGGAGCAGATGGAACAGACGAGGCACTCGAACCAAAAGCTCAACGAGGAAATCCGCAAAGAGGATGACTCGATTGTACACCCGGTTGATCACCCAGTTGTAGATTCTGTTGTAGACCCGGTTGTAGACTCGATTGTAGACCCGGCTGTAGACCTGGTTGATCACCCAGCCGATGACCCACCTGACGACCGCCCCGCGGAGCAGCAGCCAAACACAGATGCGAATTTCATCGGCATGTCCAAAGAGGATAGCGTGAAAAATTCAGAGACCGAAAACAGTTATGAAACTAGCCTGCTGAACAACATTTCCGACCCACCAGAAAGTCAGGAGGGCATGGAGCAGATAGACAAAGAGGATGAAAACAACATTAATCAAATTAATGACGACATCCAAAAACTCTACAACGATGTATACGACCTGTGTGTTAAGACGAAATATGTCAATAGAGAAATTGTTACAAAGGGACTTAACATTTATCCTTTGCTCGCCAAGCCTTTAATAGATAGACTTTTACGAGAGGCAGTTTTAAAAAAAAAGATCGTGAAAAATAAGGGTTATGAAAGTAACATATTTGTCCCCATTGAAAGTGCCTATATTGCTAATAACAGGGTGAACGAAGCCGGCGTCAAGTCCGATGCCCCTGCGGAGAATTTCGCCCTTGCGAAGAATCTCGCGGACGAGGAAAAAAATTGAAGTTAGGCCGATCACACGGAACGCCGCGCAGCCCGCCGCGTCGCAGGGCATGCACAACGCCACGTGAAATGGACCGAAAAGAAAAAAAAATTCGGCCATTTCGCTTACCCACCCGACAAGGTATATAATTTTTTTTTTTTTTTTTCATGTTAATTTTTTTTCTGTTATGCAAATCAACTTTGCTTACGCGTTTAATAAAAATGAGGGAAATGCAAAAATTCGGCGTCGAACTCCTTGCTCAAAATGGAACCCATATTGTTGGAGCCACTTTTTGTGTGCATTTTGGCACGCTCACGGCTCTCCAGAGGTGGCAACTTTTATGAGGAAAAGCAATTGTGTGCCAACCATAAAATGGCAAAATGAGACAACTCGCCAAAGAGTAGTATAAACGGACGGCGTCCAAAATAACACAGTTATACAGAACAATTTCAAAGGGCAAATTTTTTTCTTGGAAAAAATAAAGAAATCGAATTGCACCTTTTTTTTTTTTTTAGTTAAAAATTAAATATTACGCGGCTAACCAGGCCCTCACGAGTGCCCATCAAATGGTTTTACTTTGCAACGCGGCGTTAAATGGGATACACAAAAAAAAGAAGCGAAAACGGGCACGTACATAGGCATACATGCACACACACACGCACATACATTCATATATAGACATACACCTGTGGGTGTACATTTATGCGCGAAGGGGAAGTGACCGGGTTGGTCCTAAAAGCGACCCCTCTGGTTCCCAAACCTACGACCGCTGTTAGGTCTGTTCTTGAAATTATTTTTATCATTTCTGAAGTTCCCACTGTTCCTTTTATACTGATTATTGTCGTTCCTCCCACCTCTGTCATTTTTATGATTACCCCGGAAAGTAAAATTATTCGGCTTCTTCACATTGGGAGTTAAATTATTTTGCTTCTTCTCCCTATTCGATCTTTTCTTCTTTGGTTGATGAGGAACTTTCTTTTCTTGCGGTAAAAATCTACTTAGTGGGAGCGTCTGTGATTGGTCAATAAAAAATTTCGTATCCGTCGAAAAGGACTTTGCATGTATCCCTTCTTTTAATTTAACAGAAAAATAAAATTCGTTAATGGGCCCAAGGATTTCATCCACTTTTCCTATTTCCTCTTTATTTTCCAGAAATATCCTACCGTTAAAATAGGGAACTAAATTTTCCAACTTGTTCTTAATCACTAAGTCATTTTCGCAATGTTTATAGAATGTGCCCCCGAGAATTATTTTGTCAAATTTCATTTCGCTTTCTTGGCCTCGGTTGAAGCTTCCTTTTCTGTTCTTTTTGAAGAATCCCATTTTGGTTGAACGGAGGCAGTCGGATGGATCGGTAGAAATGGGGCGCAGAACGACCAAAAGGTACCTTCCTGCACAGATGTCACACACTGACGTAGGTGTATATAGCCCTCCGCGGTTTTAACAACCTGCCCTTTTGCCGTTCCCCTTTTCGCTGCTTTCCCCGTAATTTTTTTCTTCACTTTTTAAGCCTCTCCCTTGCAAATCCCTTAGAAATTTGGGGTGTTCCGGAATACTCCTCCCTTTCTATGGGGCTCCCTCGTGAAAGTAAGTTCGACCCACTTTTATGCTCACATGCGAGGGGTCCTCTCGATGCGATACAGCTATATTTGTACGACCACGGGGTTTAATTCGGTCAAATAAACATACAACCACAAAAATGGGCTCACAAAAAAGAAAGGGGCTTTTTCGCGGTGGATAACCTTGGCAAAATTAAAGGGAAGTAAAAAGAAAAAAAAATAGAGATATGTAACTTTTTCCCTATGTATGTGTCTCCAAATATTATCTTTGCTGTTCCTTCCCGAGGGATCATATACTTTCTCGTGAGAAAAGAATCCAAAATTGCCAACTTGACTAAGTTCTTCATGGTTACATTTTCGTGCCTCCCAAAATGGCCATTGGTTCATCAGGGCTTTTTTTGCCTCAGAACGTTCACAATACATAGGCACTTTGTATATATCTATCTGTACGCACGTCGTTATCTATATATTTTTTTTTTCTTCCTTTGCCCTTCCAAAAATTGCGCCCGTTTATTCCTGCTGCGATTTAGAAAAAAATCAGGTAAATGAAGGGCTCGCCGATCCCCTTTCTGGATGCCAGAAAAATAGGCCTTTTTGGAAACATCGCGATGGTACAGTAGGGGGCATATTTTCTCGCGCCACAATGCACTTTTCCTCAAAAGCACGCCGGTCGGAATACGCAGGTAGGGGGATACTATTTGCCCACACGCATAAGTACATAATATAAACGTGCATAATGACTCATTAGTTTTTTTTTTTTTTCCCCATAATTTTGCAATATTGGAGAAACGTTCTTGTGCTTGTGTTCGTTTTTCCCTTTCAAAAAAAAAAAAAAAAAATGCATGTGTTATATGTATAGATATTTATATACCCCTGTTGTACCATTTTATTTGCAGCCTTTTTATTTATGTAAAAAAATTTGTGCAGCCCTCCACCAGAGATAAGTGCCGAAGGAGATAAACACAGAAATAGGGAGACACAACTTGGCTCTCCCTCGTTCATGTAGAAAGTGCACAGATTGGTCAACACACCCAGAGGGGAATTATGCTTTTGTAAGAATACCACGCAGTGGAGGACTAAAAGTAGGAACTGCTCTGAAGAGGCCTAATGCGAAGTGCTGTGAGGGAGGCATAACCAGAGAGAGAGACAGAGTGGCAGGGAGACCCACTGGTTTGCAAAAATTGAAGGCAAAGATGCCACAGACGGGGGAGGGGCGTAGCAAACTGCGTGCAGTAAAGGAGCTCCCGCGAGGAAACACCCAGGAAGACCATCTTCCAAAACAGCAGATACCTCTTATGTGCAAAAAATGAAAATACTCCATTTAATTGGGAAGAAAAACTTCCTATTTCAGAACATGCAGCTGCGACTGTATAAGGAAGCCCCGCCAAAGGTGTTAAACAAAAAAAGCAGCCACTCAAGCCAGTGGATACAAAGGCAAATAACGGACAGGTACGTGTTGAAAGCAAAAAATGACAACTACAGAAGTAGGGCAGCATACAAACTGATCGAACTAGACAATAAATACATGTTCCTCAAGAAAAATAAAATCATATTAGATATTGGTTGCTACCCAGGTAGTTGGTGCCAAGTCATTTTAGAACGAACGAAGAATTACTCAAATGAAATTATAGGCATCGATAAAAAAATTATGGACCCATTACCGAATATACACTTTATACATGCAGAAATAGGAGGAGCAAAAGATAACAATAACGATAATAACCTTGTAGATGTCAAGTTGAGAGAAATCCTACAGGGGAAAAAAGTCGACATAATATTAAGTGATGCCGCTGTACCTTGTGTAGGCAACAAAATTGACGATCACTTGAATTCCTGTGAACTTACTTTAGGCATAACAAATTTTATGGAGCAGTATATAAATATGGGGGGGACCTACGTCGTTAAGATGTACTTGGGTAGCCAGACGGATAACTTGAAGACGTATTTGAAAACGATCTTCCAGTTCGTCAATACGACGAAACCGAAGGCGTCTAGGCGTGAGTCCAGGGAGGTGTACTTAGTGTGCAGGAACTTCCTTGGGCGGAAGAAAATCGGCGAGGATGTGCAGGTTAAGGGCGCCTTCTCGCTCAAGGAGGGGTATTACTAGTGGGTAGTTGGCCCCTTGGGCAGTGGAGCGGCCTCCGCGATCAGCACCTAGTGCATATCATATGTATATTTATACATTTGTGCCCATGTTTACGCCTTTTTGTTCTCCCGCCTGCTTTTCCTCGGGAGTTCATGTTGTGCATACCCCGCTGTTCTACCTTTATTTATTTATTTTTTTTTTTTTTGTATTCCTCCAAACGTACCATTTGTTCGCAGTGCCTGTGTTTACCACTTTAAATTAAGGGAAATAAAAAAAAAAAAAATTACAACGTAGCCATTTTGTATGCGTATCATATCTACAAGATGAAAGCGGGTGCGTTTTTTTTTTTTTTTAACGGCATCTGTGGAGTGGAGTTTTCTCAGGTGAGTCGCTGCTACCTCCATGGGGTTCAAACTGTTCTTAGAAAATGCCCCCGCATTTGTATGTTTGAACATTGGCCCTTTTGCGCGTTTTTTTTTTCCTTCTTGGCATTCGCTTAAACTACTTTTTCTTTATTGGCCCAATTTTTTCCTTTTTTTCGTTTCTGCACTATTTGGAATGCCTCACAAGGGCTCGCTGCCACTGCATCCCCCCCTTCAAATATTTGAAGATTTGGCAGAAGGGCATAGGGGACAGACTCTCCCCTCCCGCCCTCCAAAAGGGGACTTCATCTCCGCTTTAGTAAGCAGTACTGAGCGATACGTGTACATGCATCAGCATATGCATGTGAATATGCATGTACCTATGTACACCCCATTGTTCTCATTTGGAAGCCACTGAATGGGAAGAAGCGCCCCACTTTGATGTTACTAGTGTGGTAGCTTCCTCCACCACCGGGTTTTCATCCTGCACAGGGCGTGCGTGTATGTCACTCACTCCTATGCTACGGAGCCATCGGAAATAGAAACTGCACGAAGGGGTAATCTCTCCAAGAAAACAACCCCAAATATGCACATACCAGCGGAGGTAATAACAACCCCAACACACATACAGCCCGTCGCAGTAACAACATATACCACACTGTGAATTGTGAAGAAGCATGAAAAGGGGTGAGGAAGCTCTAAATTAGTCCAAACATCGACCTCGTACTCCTCGTCAAAATGAACAAGTCGGACAAAAAGTTCACCCTGAAGCTATTTAAAATTAAGAATGGCAACATCAACCTGCTGAAGAACAGAATAACGCACTTTAGCATCCACAACAAATGTATCCACCTAGTCCTGTGCAACAACAGCTTAATAAAATATTATTTGGAGAGTAATGAACTCTCGCATGTAGACTTCTACAATAAAAAAACGACAAACAGTAAAGCAGAAATTCGGTCCATGTTTTTTGACAACAAATGCTACCATGGATTTATATGCTTAGCGAACAAGGAATATATTTACGTCCACTTTGAATATAACATTGTCCTAAATTTGGCTAAGTTAAAAAAGTACAACATCTCAAGTGTGTGCTTCAACGATTCCAATGAGGTTAAAAATACTGCACCTTTTCTGGTGGCAACCAAGGATGGAGAAATACTCGAAATGAGTATAAATAACAGAACCAAGAGTAGCAGAGAGCATGAAGTGATTTTTTCCAACAGCCAACTTTCCATTTTGGATATAAGCATGATCAATCTGGACATTTCAAACCAGCCCAGCTTTACAGAAAATACGAATGATGATAACATGCTGAGCATTATCTACTTCACCACATGCAACAGTTTGCACGAAATTAGCTATACGTACAAAAGCACCAGTGTGAATAATCCCACCGAGAGGAGCGAAACGTATGCCCAGGAAACGAGAATAAAAACAAACACAGAAAATTTGAACATGAACCAACCAAGGGACGAAACGAAGGTGTACGAATGTTGTATAGACTCCTTGACGTCTATCTTGAAAATTGAAAATATCCGAAATAGGAATTACCTCTTCTGGCTCAACGGCTGTTGCATATTTATCAGCAAAATTAATAACTGCAAGGGGGGAAAGACTTCCAACCGTGCGAGCCGTGCGAACTGTGCGAACCGTGTGAAAGATTACCTCTCCAGTGGATCCAATTGGAACCCAAACCAGGATGGCAACAATTTGGAGGAGCCCACCTTACTGTCCTGTTCCCCTGAGTCGGACACTTCACTCGATGGGATCAACCTTGCATCTTTTAGTGAGGAAGACCAAGAGGAGGAGATGAACGCGGCGAAGAGGTACAAGCGGGCAGTTCACAAATCAACTGAGTCCCCAAATCGGAAAAAAAACGCACAAACGAAAGGGACGTACAGAAGTAACCATCCTTATAGAAAATCATCGGAACCGGAGAAGGAGAATAAGACTAAAGAGATGAACAAAAAAGACAAGCTCATGAGTGAGTGGTACCTAGATAGTAACTATGTCATTGTGAACTTCCTTGACTTAAACATATTGACAAGCGAAAATGCAAACAATTTTGCATTTACCAAATCGTTTTACGAATCCTTGTATTGCCAAAAAGGGAACACAAATGTATTGGCTAGCCATATCGAAGATCTACCCACGGAGCAAGAAGCAACAGAACCCGTTTTGACAACCCCAGAACCCAAACTTTATGAAAACACCGTCTCGGCTGTTGTAGATATGTGTGTAAGTGAATTATACATATTTCTTCTGTTGGAAGAAAAACTAATCATTGTTCACAGTGGAAACCTTAAGAAGATCTTCGAGCAAGCCCTAGCCATCGAAACGTATGGAGACGTCATACGCATAATGAAGGACAATTCCGATGACCAAGTGTGGCTCTGTACATCCAAGTACATCTTCAAAATTGTCGTCAATAAGAAAAAAGGGGAAGGATTTTACCTTAATGAATATACACAACCAGACGATTGCGAAATGGAGTATGCTAATTTGAAGACCAATCTGAGAAAAAAAAATCTTTCAAAAATCCTCGAGTCCTGTACAAATTCGGAAAGAATAAAAATAAAAAAATATATCCTAAAGAGTAATAAGTACCAAATTGATCAGTTTAAAAATTTACACATCTCCACTGAGGAAATGTTAATTTCTTTTTTACATAAAAGGCAGTACTTTCTTTTGGCGTCCCATCTGTACAATAACATTCACTGCTATAATAACGTCGTCAAGATAGTCTTCTTCATATGGCTCATCCAGCTGTACTCCTACTCTCTCGATCTGTACATGCACCTGTACCTCATCACGCGTTGCTCCTTCGCTCGGCGGCAGCTCCAAAATGGAGCCAACGTGGGAACACATTCAGGCGAGCAATCAAGTGGAACTTCTGATCAGCCATGTGGAACCTCCGACCAGTCAAGTGTAGATTCTGATCAGCCAGGTGGAACCTCTGACCAATCAAGTGTAGATTCTGATCAGCTAGGTGGAACCTCTGACCAATCAAGTGTAGATTCTGATCAAACAACTGAAACTTCTGATCCACCAAGTGGAACATCTGATGAGCTAAGTGGAACGGATTCCAAATGCGCCGCCCAACTGGGCCCCTCCGATGAAGCAGAATCGGGCGCAACTCCCCACCCTAGGGATCGGCCTAGTGACCACTCGGAAGCAGCGACCGATCCAAGTCATGACGAACTAAGCGGAAAGAACAGCCAGTCGGTCTATGAAACGGAAGTGAATAAAGCTAACGAAGCTAAGAAGGCTAACATGGCGAAGCGGAAGGAAAAGACCCATTCGAAAGAAACCGGGGCGCACGCGAGCGCAGAGGCAGGTGAAGATGTGATCGCAACAGAGGCAACGTTGAACAACACCGAAGGAGGCAACAGCAACATTGGTAACCACCAATACACGAATAACGCTGAAAAGCAGCAGAAAGGAATAACGAATGTGCGTAAGAACAACGTAGAGAGTGCAATACAAAATGACAAGTATCTGAGAATCGGAAAAAAATCCTTCATTCGCTTCTTCCAGAAGATCATAGAGAAGGACGAAAGGAATGATCTAAAATACAGTTTCGACTTTTCCAAGGGCAAGAAAATGAATATCAAAACGCTAACACAGAGCGACAATTTTTACGTCCTTCTGAAAATATACAAAATGAAGAATGTGGAAATTTTCAATTTTTTGAAAGCTCAGAAGGAGCTGATTTTGGCTGACCTCGAGAGGTACAGAAGGATCTTCGTGGAGGGAGAGGAACACCTCGCAGGGAAAGAGAGGCGGACGAAGAAAAGGGGGATATCCCCCACAGCGCCGCTGACCTCGGAAGAGGAGCAAACCGCAACTATGCCTAAAACCGCGACAACCCCGCCAATCTCAACCACGCTGCCAGCCTCGACCACGCCGCCAACCTGGAGGGCGGATCGCGTGAAGAGAAAACTGTACAGAGACATCTACGCGTACAAATGCCTCGAAGCGAGCGTATACATGATCATCCTGCTGAAGCACTTCAAAACATTCTTCCAGCTGAATGACGTTATTGCACAGATCCTGGAGAATTTCAACAAGACAAATTTTATCCTGCTCTTTAAATTCATGTGTAACGATTACAATTATATAATCAACTTCTACATCAATAGCAATAAGTTCACTGCCCTTTTTAACGTCATGTTGCTCTTCCCTCAGAATGTGCTCTTGGACGTGCTAAAGAATTACGCCTTCATTTTGTACCTACACAAGCCACAGAGATATGTGGATATGCTAATTTTCTACGACAACTTGATTGACGACTACGCGGACGTCATTGTGTGCATGTTTGTCATAATTTATTTTTTTAAAGGCAGCGAGGTGGCCAAAAGGGGGGATATCAGCGATGAGAACGGCGGTGGGGACCACCATGACAACCTTGGTGATGGCGACCACGAACAAGGCCACCGAGATGATCAGCGACAAGACGACCGAAGCGGACATCCCACTGGCCAGAAGCACACAGACGAATGCATCCGATTCTTAGAATACATTGCGAACAAAATAATCGAGGAAAACACGTTGACAGAAAGAGAAAATTATATGTACACATTCGAATGCACATGGAAAAAAAACCACGTAATAAATTGCCTACTCATTTTGTACATCGAAAAAGAAGAGGATGGAAAGATAAAAAATTTCTTAAACAGATTAAAATCGTCGGGCATTCATTTCGACTATCTGTTTATTATACGCTTTTTGAAGGAAAAAAAAAAAGAAAATTTCATTCCCCATTTTTACATAATTATGAAATATTTCGAAGAAGCCGTTGATAAATCCCTCGAACTGGGGGATTACAAGACGGCCCAAAATGCCGTAATACTATGCGAAGATGAAGAAGAAAAAAAAAAATTATTTCTCAAAATTATTAAAAACATCTCCAACAATTTAAATGAAAAAAACTTAAAAGAAATAATTAACCTTGTCCGTGATTCAAATTCGATTTTAAATTTACAGGATATACTTCCATACATTAATGAAAACACAATTATCGATTACTTAAAGAAGGACATTTGTTCCCTCCTAGGAATTTACCATTTAAAAATACAGGCCAAAAAAGAAGAAATTAAAGAAAACTTACAAACCATTGATCTGCTTAATGGAGACCTCAACAGCCTGAGGAAAAAATATCTCCTTCTGGACAAAAATGACATTTGCTATATATGCAAGAAGACAATTTTTTACAAAAAGTTCTATGTTTTTTCGTGCAAGCATTATTTCCACAGCACTTGTGCTTTGAATATTTACCTGAACTCGAAGCCGAAAGATGAACTATTCCAGTTTTTCTGTACTCTTCATAATTACAAAAATGCGCTTATCAACAGGAATGAGAAGGACCTACTCAGGTATGAGACGAAGATCGATGACATCCTGACGGAGGAATGCTTCCTCTGTGGCTCCATTTCGATCAGCTCCATTTCGCAACACTTCATTTCGCAGAGTGAGGGTGACTTGGTGGACAGCTGGGCCATATCGAAGGAGTAGCGGGTGGGGGCGATTTCGGGTGAGAAGCAAATTCCATTTGGTTCATTTGGTGCATTTTGTGAGTTTAACACCTTTTTTACCGTTAGTCCTTTTGCTGTGATCCCCCTTTATGACTCTTTTTTAAACCGTTCCGTTGTGCCAATCCATGGCCAGCCATTGCGCGCGTTCCCCCACGCGGCAGGGCAAAAAAAAAAAAAAAAAAGTTCGCCAGTTTTTTCACAAATGGGGAATGTAGACCAGAACAGCACATATTCGCAATGCTACAAAAGACCATAACGTAGGGATAAATCAAATGCTGTTGCAACTGCTGACACCTTGGCGCGACGTACACAGTGGGTGCCGTGTAAAAATGACGCTGTTCTAAACTGCCAGCTAGGTTACCCTTCGGTAGCCCTAAAAACAAGCCTTATCCACGTAGCGCAGAAAGCTGGGGGAAAAAATAAAGGAGCCGTACGACGGGTACAACGCATCATCTTCGACTCGACGCTGGTGGGAGGAACCACTCCGCAGAGCAGCCTCGTCGCCCGCGTTTCGGCGCAGATTACTTACGGATAATGATTCCTTTTTCTTACAGTAATCATATATGCTCATAGGAGGAAAATTAACCGAAGAAGGAATAAAGAAAAGGAAGGGGGGATCCAATTTAAATTTTCTATTCATTAACAAAGGAGTGGTCGATTTGGTAAGACAAATTTCACATTTCCTATTTTTATTTTTTTTTTTCAAATATGATTCAATATACTTATTTTGAACATCATCAAAAGTTCTTTTCATTTTCCAAGAAATGTATAACCATGGATCACCAAAATGTACATCGAAATAATTTAAGTAAAATTCCAATTGCTCTTCATCTTCCTTTGTCCATGGTTTATTTTCATTTTCAAGTGGAGGGGCTTGAAAATTGCGAACAAAATCGTCATAAGAATCTTCCGGATATAATCCATGGTTAAATTGATTCACATATTTCCATATTTTCCTTCTCTGTTCATTTGTTAAGCACTCCATTGCATACAACTCCTTTGGCGTTATGGTGATGAAGTCTGTCCAACTTTTAAAGGCTCTCTCTATTTCGTCAATATTTTCGCCTATCTCTATTTTGGTGACGAATTTTTTAACATCCCAGTTTTCTGGGGGATCCTTTGCGCAACTCTTCAAAATTTCTCTTTTTTCATTTTCAATTTCTTCTGTTTTTTGTCTTCGCAAGTGCTGCCTGAACAACTTCAGATCGAAGAATCTCCTCTTCTTTTTGAGAAGCGGGCCTATACGAGTGGGGGGAAAAGAGCACAATCTTCATAAAAAAAGAAAAAAAAAGTAAAAAAGGGGTACAGCAGTGCACAGTGAAGTGAACTACGCTGCATATGGTAGGGACACAAACTGTGTATACTTCCTCTTTGAAGTTGCCCCTTTCACGAACTAGTCGTCTACCCCCCTTGACACACCTGTATCATCTGAGTCCCTGTGAATAGCTGATGTGTGAATGCGCCTAGCGTTTCCGAAAGGTCTACTCAGTAGTTTATTCATTAAGGGGAAACAGTGGGAAATAAAAGGAGAGAAAAGGATAACCATAGGTGAACTCAAAACGTAGTGGAAATATCCCACAAGGGAACTACGCACAGCTGATATGGCAAATAATCCATACACCAGTCCGACCCCGCACCCTTTTGCCCCTTTCGTGGATTAACATATCTAGGCCACCCACAAAAAAGGCTTATAACAATAATGCAATTTTGATTGGCCACTCCTTTGTGCTGAAAAAATGGCGCGTTAAGAATGCATCTTTTGTGACGGGGAGGAGGGTACAAGATACTCTTTTGAAATATCATGCCGGGGGCGACATCGACATAAGAGGGCCCTTTGCCTCAACTGGGGTGAGAATTACATAGGCGTACACGTCATGCCCATAGAAGGAATTTTTTTTTTTTTTTGTTTTTCATATTCTCCCCCAATGAGGTAACATATCATTGTGAAAAAAAGAGAACGAAGCACACCAATCTTTAGATAGGTTTTGTTGCAGCGCCCCATGTGGACTTCATTGAGAGATACGGAAAAGAGAGACTCATGCGCATATGAAAAAGTGTATCAAGGTGAGAAGTAGCCGAATGGGTACACTTTGATTAAGGGCCGCTGGTTCGATTAAACCCACATGAGATGACGCTTTTTAACTTACTCAAGAGCCCCCGGATTGTAGCGCACCCAAGCCTGCCTCCCCTCCGTTTATTCACAACAATCCAACTGTACAAGCCAACAAAGTTTAAACGCATAACGAGAAACCTCTATTTTAGGAAAAAATTATTCAAACTACTTACGACGAAGCCATGTTCTGAAGAAGTAGCCAAGGGGGGCAACGAAGTTAACAGGAAGGCGGACGGGGAGGTAGTCTTCTATAACGACATAGTTGATCACCCCACGAGAAAAAGACGCATTTACATGAACAATAAATTTGGAATAAACGATAAGGTCAAAATGAGAAATGGAGAAAAACCAACCTTTGAAAAAGTCCTATTTAAATGTACTACCTTGGGCTACATAGAGTTACAGCACATCATATCGACCTTTGTTAGCCACGAAAAAGATACTTTCACGGAGGAACATATATGCGCCTTAGATAATTTTTTGAGCCTACCGGAAAAAGAAATTTTTGATTACTTGAATGGGGATGAACTGATTCCACAACATCACTTGGACGCATCAGTAATAAAGCGCTTACTACGCTTTGTCCATGTGAATCACCCCCATCTCTGATACACTCCAATTCGGAGTTACGTGTGCGCAAAGCGTGTAATTTGTTTGCATAATAGAGTCCTCATTTCCTTTTGGCTGAACTGGGGATCCACGTTTTTGTAAATTTGCAGATGGAAAGGATTTCTAATTTATTATTTTTTTTTTTTTACACTTGCTATTTTATCCCCCACGTATGATCAACTCCTTTTTTAGTGCTTCATTTGGTGCTTCATTTGTTACTTGATTTGCTGCTTTTCTTTTTTTTTTCCAACCTTCTTGAAGTAATCCACAATTCAGAGTGACAATTTAACCGCATATCCGCACACCTTCCTATTTACAAAATTTACACCCCCTCCAGTGTTCTCCCTTAAATATACTGCACCTAATTTTACGAAGTTTTTGTAGAAGGAGCACAAAGATGTGGAGTCAACAGGGGATTGGGCTATCCTTAAAATGACTGCAATTTAATTGACTTTCTGCATCAAACAATTCTAAAAGGAGTTTCTCCCGCTGTGTTTTTTTTTTTCGTCAATATGGAGGAATGCATACTGCGCCCTCTTTGCAAACTCATCCGGTGAAAACGCGCAAAAAAAGAAAAAAAAAAAAATCAAAACGTCGGCTATACCCATATGTCCATGTAACTCGATTTTCTTCCTTTTTTTAGCAAAAGGATTTGATGAGCATTACGAGATAGTTCCCTTTCTTATGCGCCAATTTGTTCCCTCTTGTACTTTTTTTTTTCCTCCCTTCGTGATTGCTACTTTATACGGCAAATGTACACTGCACCTGAGTAGCAGTGACTACTTGCGCTAGCGCTGCGTGTAAATGTGGCATACGACGAATTGGAACAGCAGAAGAGAAGATCGCTTTGTTAGGGATGTGCTTACCTCGAAAGTTTCGTATACCTTTTCACTTGGGGATAATTGCTTAGATCCCCCCTTTTTTTTCCCCCCCATTTCTGTACCATTTTGCACCCATCGGAGGAACCCTGATCGACTGCGCCTGCGGCACCATGAAAGGCTTCACCTTGAAACGCTCGATAGCCCATTTGGCCATTCCTCCCAGGTGGAGTTGCCATGTGGAAAAGAAGAACCTCTGTTTCTTTCCATGTCGCCGAAGGGGCAACACGAAAAATGGCTTGGCCAGGTGGATAAGGCCCTACAGCAGCACAACGGGAGAAAAGAAAGCGGAAGATGAGCATTATCTGTCCATGGGGGACAACATCGAAAAGAGATACAGCTTAGCCTTATACAATGTGGGAAAGAAGAACAACAAAATAAACGAAATATCAAGTGACATATTATTTATAAAAAACAATTTCCTCCAGGATAAAACTTTTCTTAATTTCTTGCACACTCCAAATATTGAAAATAAAGAAAAATTAGATTTCTTAAAGACAGAGTGTAAAAAGTATAACAATAATTTTAACCCCATAACATCCAATTTTCTGGAGTCTCTATTTGATTCCAAAAGGATAAACTTTTTGCAAAAGATAATCGAAGAATTCGAATTGCTACTAATGAAGGAGAGGAAAGAAATTAAGTGTTTTGTGTACACGGCGAAAGAAATCAATAACACTGAGAAACAGAAAATTCACGAGTCCATTCTTTTTAAATTAAAGAATGAACTAAAGCCTCTTATAGAGTACAAGATAGACAAAAGCATTTTGGGTGGGCTTGTCCTGCAAATCGGCAACCAAGTGTTTGACTTTTCTGCTAAGTACAAAATTGAGAAGATTAGGAGCACCTTGTCTTAGCCGTGGATTTGCTGGGCCCTAAGCCAGTTCTTCGATGTGCACTTCCGATTATAAGTGAGTGCACCATGTGTATGTTGGCGCATACCCACCGTTATGCGCGAACTGCTCTTTGCGCGGCCCTTTGGCCGGCCAACTTCGCCACATAGGGCCGTTCCCATTACGTCCAGAGCGACTCGCACGTAGCAGTAGTAATTTTTTTTTTTTTTATAATAACCTCCCAAGTGCGCATAAGTACATGGACCCTATGGCCTGTAGTAACATTTTTTTTTTTTCTCACCTCTCAAGTTTTACATTCGCACAAGTGCCAAACTTTTTCTCTATTTTGCGCTTATTTTTACATCGACCACAGTTGCAGCTATCAAAGTGCTCCTCCGACACGGGGAGAACGGAATTTTTTGCACGGTGTATATATTTGCCACTGTGCTTCATTTTTTCTTTTTCTTTTTCCTCTTCTCCTTGTTATATTAACCCCCCATCAACTTAAGTGTCTGAAGTGGTAACGCTTTTGCGCACTGCTTGGGGCTCCCGTGTGCAGTGCCAGAAGTATGCACACCATCCGTTTTGATTGCACCTTTTTGATTGCCATACGCCAAATGTATAAATTTCGCAAAAAGGCTGGCTTCCACAGAGAGGGTTTCTCCACAGAAAGGGTTTATTTCCCGAAGCGCGTGGTTTTCAGAAGCTCTTGAAAAAGAGCCCCTCCTTGTGCGCCCCCGAGCGCTCTACATGCACATCCGTTCTTCTACCGGGGTAACAGCAAGGGGGGCTGCACTACGCCCCGTTTCACGTTCCAGTGTCCTTTTTTCCCGCCCACTTAAATTTGTTGCCGCGTGGGTACACATATGAAAGTGTCCACGGAAAAGGTATTTCCACTTTGTATTTTTGTTTAGTTTTGCCATGTTTTGCCTTTCCATATTTTGCAATATTTTTATTGTTCTTTAGTTTCCTTTTGTTTTGTTTTATTTCGCCTTATTTTTTTGTTACTCCTTTTCATTTTCTTCTTGCATGCATTTCCGCTTTTACTTGATCATCACGGCTTTACACCTCTTTATACCCCTTTACACCTCATTATAGTGCTTTACACCTCTTTATACCCCTTTACACCTCATTATAGCGCTTTACACTTCTTTATAGCGCTTTACCCCTCTTTATACCCCTTTACACCTCATTATAGCGCTTTACACCTCTTTATACCGCCACATTTCGTTCTCCGCGGGAACCAAGTCACGCAACGTATGGACGCGAAAGGGGAACTCCGCGAGGCAGGGGCTTTAGACAAACTTGGTATTATGGTTAAGCTTCTCTTTCTCAACTTCGACAAAGCGAGGAGAGAATTCCCAGTGGCAGCGCTACCTCCGTACGGCGTCCGCGCGTGAGCAGCCCACACAGGAAAGGATTTTCCCGCCCCCATGCAAACGTGACAGATGAAGCCCTTCATGTGTAAACGTGACGCGAACACTGCACACAGGAATAACCTTCAAAGGAACAGCCTGCAAAGGAACAACCACGAAGAGGCGACCTCCCGTTTGCCCCCAAGCCACCTGCCAACCCAGGCAGAGAACCCCAAATGGAGGCACTTTTCAAGGAGTTGAACTTTGCAGAAATACGGAAGTGCGTGGAGCAAGATGAGGCCCAAGTTGGAAGAGTCGCCAAATGGATATGCGCGAACAACCTCTACATAACTTTACAAATGTTGGCAAAATGCAAAAATGGGGGGAAGCCAAATCTGAAGATGAACGTAATGGACGAATTAGATGAAAAAATTAGCAACCCAGAAAACGAAGAATTACTATCTTGTACAGAAAAGTATGTCTCACTTTTGGAGAAAATTATTCTCCATTATGAGGAACTAGACGTAGAAACGAATAAGAAGATATTTGAAATTTATTCCACCGTATCACTGAGAGTTTTGATTTTTTCCAACCATGAGTTTGCCACCTACCTGCAAAAGTCCCTACTCGCCCTGATTCGAAATATACATATGAAAAAGCAGCACACTTCCCGCCATAAAAATGCCTATTCGTATAACCTTTTAAATTGTCTGCACAATCTTTATTTCTTCATCAACCTACCTGATTTTATTTTTCTACATTGCTTACTAATTTATTTGTGCTCAAATGTTAATTGCGATAGGAGCAGTACAATGGGAAAGAAGAAGGAGGATAAATTACTTATCCACACGTTGAGAAAAATTAGTCAGCTCTTTGAAAGGCTCGTCTTTCCCCTCAACGGCGGAAAAATTCTTCATGGCGAGGCCCCCTTTGATGAGAGCCCCCGACCAGGAGAGATTCCTCCAGTCCATGTTCACCCCATTTCAGACACACTGAACAACTCGGACACAAAAATTATCTACAAAATTGGAAAGACATTCAAGTTAATGTATGAAAATATTTGCTCGACATTTGACACCAATAAGTATCCAGTTAATGAAATAGAATTTCAACAGAATTACTCCCCAGAAAATGTAAATGTGAACAACTTTCTCCTGCTACTGAAAATTATGTCCCCCAACTTTATCGCGTGGGTATCAAAAGAAAAGAAAAAAGAAGAAGTAACAGCAGAAGGGAAAGCGACAAAGGGGGAAGCGGCGAAAGGGGGGGAAACTCCCCCAGGGATAATCCCCATTCCGAAAGAAACACAAACACAGTGCTACTCCTTCAAGTACCTGTACATTATAGACACCTCACAAAGTTATCCTTACGCGAAGGAAGCTTTTGACACCATTTTCTTCTTCCATTTTGTGCTTCACGCACTGCATAAGATGGGAAAGCATAAATGGGGAAACCAAATTGAGCAGCTAATGTCGAGAACACTAAACAACTGCCATGGTCTTCTGGAAAGGAATTATTACTCCCCAGGAGGATGGACTCCCACACGAATTTTCCACATTAGAGAAAAACAAGAGGTGGAACACATGAAAGGGAGAGGAAAGGAAAAGCGGGAAATAGGTGTACCGGCGGAGGGAACCACTTTGGGGGATCCACCTCATGGGAATGAAACCGCGGGCGGTACCAAACTTAGGGAAAAATTGCCACATTTGAGGGGGGACATTCCGAAGGGGGCCCCCCTAAACGAAGAACCGCTCACGAAATTACGCGACCTTCACGAAGAGGAAAAAACGACTCTGCTGGATGCCATCTTCAAGAATAGGGATGAATTGATGCTCAAATTGAAGAGCCTTATCATTTGGGGATACACCCAAGTAGATGATGTGGAAGAATGGAATTTTCTAAACTTAGCAAATTCCTTCATCTTCACGGATTACGCATGGAGTAGGCTTTACAAAAAGGGGAATTACCTACACGAATATTTATTCAAGAAAAATAATTTTTTTACCTATAACTACGCTGTCTTTAAAAGCACATACGAGTGTAAAACGTTGAGTTTTAAGTACATGGATTTTTTCTCCAATTTTGTTGCCCTCCTCGTACTTAACATGGTATCAGCACTAATCAGATTTTGCCTAAAAATGGAGGAATTACATGATGAGAAAACAAACAAAACAGATTCTCAAGAGGATCCCAACGAGAAAACTGAACAAGACAACTCTTTGTCATATGAGACGCGAGATTCTTCCTCCATAGTGGAAGGAACAAACCCGATTGGAAAGAACAGAATTTCTGTGCCCCCCGAGATGGACGCAAAAAATGGAGAACTTACAAAGAAATGTAATAAATGTGGAAGATCAGACATATTTGAAATTCCGCTTAACGAACTCAGCGAGGATGTTATCAGCGGACACCTCCCTTTAATTCCTCCACAAACGAGTGAGAACGTTGAAACTCTTTTTAACGACTTCGTTTTTATCTGCTTCAAATTGATCAGCTGTCCTTCCGATGATGTGCAGGCCAAATCCCTGTCAGTTCTATCTTGTCTTACGCCAAACATCCGTAAGGTAAGCGATTGGTATATAAAATATATGAATAGAAAAATAGACAAATTATTTGCCCTAATCGATGGAGGGGAAAACGATTATGATTACACGGGTAAGGGGTGCTACTGCTGGAAGAGCCAAGTTATCAAAAACTACGTTCATCTGAAATGCAAACTGGACAAAAAGATAAACATCAACTTGATAAAATCATTGCAAAATCTAATAAATATCTGTATGTTCAAAAATTACAATAAAGATATATGTGTAATAGTTTGTAAAAATATCATTACATGCTTTTATTACCACCCAGTATTATTCCCATTCCTATTACATAAATATATGAACGTACTTTTTTACCTCATGGAGACAGACGATGTCGACGTGGTGGCAAATTCGTTGAGGTGTCTTTTCCTACTGTTCCAGATAAATTCGGAAAACGTTAAAATATACTGCCACGATATTGTGTACAGATTGCATTTACTCTTCAATATTTTCAACCAATGGGACTTAACTGATTTGAGGAAGGAAGAAACCATCCAACTGGACACCCCTGTAAAGAACATTGCTGAAGAATACATCTCGACCAGTGTCACTTATTTTTTAAAAAAGTTTTATTTTCAAATTAAACACGTAGATAGGGCCAGCTCCGAAATTTTGATGCTCATGAAACTTATTCTGCACAGTATATATATTGCAATTTCTGCCACAGAATATTATCAGCTCATTCGTATATTTTCAGACGACCCCCTGGAATATGGCAAATATTCCAAAGGCTTCCACACTTTTGCTACTTTCTAGGAGTCACACACACACTTTGCTTCTCCTTTGAAATGTCGCATCAGGGGCGATGGAGGAGGGGGAAGGGGAAGTGTGCAACAATACCCAACCCGGTGGGTTGATATGAAATTTTTAGCGAAAGACTAAATGGAGAGCGGCATATCTCTGGAGCCGTCTGCTTCCCCAATTTTGGCCTCCCTCTGGAAAGGAGCACATAAACGTACATGTATCGCATGTAAGAGTTTATCCCGTCTTTCATAGCAATATTTTTCCCACGACATGGTGCAACCGCCCCTAGTTTATTTATTTTCGTGATTATGTATGCCTTAACAAAGGGGGCGGAAGAGGTGAAGGAATCACCACCGCACCCCATATTTGTGATTGCAACCCATTTGTACCCTACTGTGCCATATTGTATCATATTTTGCTATTTTTTTAACATTATAGACATTCGTGCGTGCCCCCATTTCACTGCTAAACGGTGCAGGCGGAAAGGGGGTCAAAACAACGCACTTTCATCATGTGCGTTCACGCAAACTGTCGCACGAGGAAGAATGAAAACGTTGTAAAGTGAGGTTACGCAAAATAAAGGGTGCGCAGAATGAAGGAAGTGCAAACATACAAAAGGCAATGCATAAAAATTGCATGACAAAGATGAAAGAAAAAAAAAAACAATTGGATCTCAAGCGCGTCACTCACCAAATGCCGCAAAAACTCACTTCTCCGTGTGTGCATTTGTGTAAGGCGTGCAAATGCGCATGTAGAACAGATTGACACAGGAGCCACGCCCGCGCGGGTACATGTGTTACACTCGAACGAGTTAAGATAAAGAGAAAGGAGAAGCCAACGCACGTGTATAGGTATATATGTTCATATACGTCCATATATGCATCCCCGCGTGCATACTGTAAGATATACGAGGAACTATATAAAATGAACAACGCCACAAGTACAAATGAAAAAATATCTGGTGCTACTCTGTTTGCTCATTCTTTCCGCTGGTCGTTTATTGGTCAAGGCGATACGAAAAAAAGATTTAAGGAGGAGCTTAAAAGGAGGTACGACTATCCTGCCAAATGTATATGTCCCCACGGGAAGTGTTCTGCTTTACCCCGAGTGGCACCTCATGGTGTAACACCCCCCGCGTCTGTTTTTCAATTTTTTTTTTTTTTCTTTTTTCTTTGCCTGGATCCATGGCTAACTCATTAAGCATTCGCACACGACTGCTCAATTTTCACTTTCCAAGGGAACCGAAATAATGAAGATCCCCAGAAGAGGAAGAACCCACTCAACTTTGAAATTATGCGAGACAAAAGCAGCCTGTCAAACATACAACTAAATTCATCCGCGCTTTTTAACATATTATCATCAACGAGGTTAATGCAAAATTTAGGGAGCCCCACTTCAGAAACCCCAATTTACAGATACATACACAATATTCACGATCACAATGAGAACAATGCTGCTGTTTTGGTTTTCATTCTCTTTGGTATATTAATTTTTGCGGTTTTGTTTTTTATCTTTTATTGCATCTTCAGACATCATGTAAATCATATAAAATTTATGAACACCACGTGATGGTTTCTTGGCTAGATGGTATTTTTTTTTTTTTTTTTCTTTTTTTTCTTTTTTTTTCTTTGTTCTTAATTTATAATTAGCTAGTCAATTAGCCGTTTTTAAGGTTTGCCATCCTGCGCAGGTGTCTGCAAAAGTGAAAAAACACACATATGTGTACGTTCATAGGAATACACACACCTTGTCCACGGGGCTACTCCCATGGTACCACCATGCCATTTCTTGTGCTTAACTGCAAAATAGCTATTGTTCGAGAGGCACAAAATTAGTTGAACGGGAGCGTGTATGGAAACACCTATTGCATATAAGTAAATGTAGCGACAAAAACACAGGAATTAGAAAGGACGATAAAGAAAAAATCGTTTTGGGTCTGTTATAACGTGTATTATTACAAAATTTTGAAATTCCCTCCGTCTCAACAGAGGTTTGAAAAATTCTCTTTTTTCTTAACACGTAAATGTCTTTCCACTTTATGGGTAAAAATGGTCTACACATAAAGTCGAAGAATGCAAATGATCGCCCCGAGGAGCTTCTACACACAACAGAAAATCCTCTCCAACGGTGTTGCTACGGAGCGTCAATCTGAATTTTCTGCTACACATGTGCAGGTTGCGTCCCGTCCCTTGTAGTGCATCTTTTGTGTGTTCAAAATTTAAGGAAAAACACCCGAAATCTGGATGGCACCACTTTTTTCTCATACGTAAATAGGGAAGGACGATTATCAAGAGGAAACTGCTAAATGGTTTGTTATCTTGTCTTATAAGTAGAATTTTTTTTTCCTGCCCCATATTTTTTGGTTCCCCTCAAACGGGCCATGTAATATTTTTTTTTTTCAGAGTGTGGCATCAGAGTACATAAAAATGGGGGCATCGAACGTTTACTAACTTGAAAAAATGTTCACAGGTAAACAAAAACAAGATGATTTTTTATTATCCCTTATGGTTGCCTTTTTTCTCAGCAGCGCATTCATTAAGAGGTAAATAAAAAAAATATGCACTTTGGGAAAAAAGCATAATGAGGACTAAAATTAGGGACACAAAAATGGAGTAATAATCACGAATGATCAAACAAGTACAACACGACAACATCGTTGGGGTAGAGAATAAAAAAGGACAAATGGACGTAAAGTTACGAAAGCTCAGACAGCTCGCATGTTAAACAAAAACTGATGAGAAGGTTATATCAATAATGCGCGAATTGGCGGGTCTCGGAGGGAAAAAATATATCAAAATTGGCAGCTGCAAATTCGCAACAGGGACAGCACCAATAGCAATCGGACGGAGGCTAAAAGAACAAACAAAAATAACTGAAAAAAAATGCAAATGGGGGGGAATGATGGGGAGTAATACCGGCGGAGGCACCTTCGGGAACTTCAAATAGTTGCCCGATGAGCGCGCCGGTAAGTAGGAACAGAAGATAAACGGGAGAGAGGGAAGGATTTCTCCTATTGATAAAGACCCATAACAGTAGAAATCCCCCTGCATGTAGGTCATAAATACGTTCCAAGGACACATTCCAACGCTGACATGGACAGGAGCTACTTCTTTCTATAGAGCAATTCCTTCGTTTTGTTCATCACTTCCACAGCTCCGGGAATGATTTTATTCCTAATAATTTTCAAGTATAGTATTAAATTTTTCCCCATTTTGTTCAGAATAAGGGTATTGTCGGCGGAAAAATTATTTTTCTTTTTCATGTCATTGAGGAAGTCCATATCGTGCTGAATAACATCCATTAGCTGCTTAATTTCAGTTTTAAAATTATCTAAATATTCTTTATTATTTTCACAAAGCATAATTAACCCATTTAGCTGCGACACGTTGCTACACATGGTGGTGTACCGACTTGAAATTTCGTCAAAGGCATTCACCAAATCAATGGCCTTCTTATCTATAGACAAATTTGGGTGTATAATATATTTTAATTCATTTATATATATGAAGCAGTTCTTACATAGTCTCACTTTTATATATTTTAGCTGGCTGTCTTTCATCACATCTATGCTTTTTACACAGTACATACAGAATATCTCTTCGCACACTTCACAGAAAACTTTGCTCGTGTTTATGTAATAAATTTGCTTCACGCTAGTTTTACAACTTTTACAATAATCCCCATCCTTTGTTTTTAATTCGCTTGCTTTTAAAAACATTTTCAAATCGTATGAATTGTTATTCATTAAAATTCTCTTTAGCCAATTTTTTCGCGGATCCACTTCGTCCTTTGCCATCTCCCTCTTCTCAAGAAAGCTCTTCGTCAGATCTCTGCTTATGCGGTCGTTCATTATATTTTAGGAAAAAAAAAAAAAAAGAGTTACGTGTCCACTTGTCCCCCCTAAAAACACACACAGTTGTGCTGGTATATTGTCCTGAATATTTTCTCAAATCAGTGGATTATAACTCTCCTACTACACAGCCACCAAATTGTTTTCATTAAAAGAACTTATGGGGTAGAAGAAAGACATACAACATAAAAAAACTTAACGGGATCGGAAAGAGCACAGTGGGGACGCATCAATCAGTGTCTAAGCTGCGCCCTCAATGTGTGCGATTATATTTTAGAGAAACGGTGGTTGCGTTTTCTTTTACTCAGGTCAGTTCTTTCCCCCCACCTGTTCCCATGTGCAGAAAGGGACATGTACTCGCGGGGATGTTACAAACGTATGCAACCCCGTCTGCTTATTCGTAGTTTCTTTTCTACATAGGAGAAGCTACTCCGAACTGCTAAGGAACACTGCACGAGGGGACATTCAAGACGAACGGGCACATACTACCAGGTTTATAAAGGCAGAAATAGATGCAACATAATGTAGCCACTACGTAGTGCCACCTTACGGGTGGAAATTGTACTAACTGGTCAGAAGAAAAATGGAAGCCGCAGCAGGGTACGCAAAAAAAAAAAAAAAGGAAAAAATAGGTACATGTAAAAATGAAAAATCGTACAAATGAGAAGGTAAAAAAAAAAAAAAAACGTACAAGGTAAAAGCGTCATAATGTAACAGAAAAAAGAAGAAAAATTCAGATATTTGATATATATTACGAAAACTTTTTACATCACTCTTTCTTGCTCTTGCATATATAACTTTATATTTTATTTGGTCTTGTGCGCATATTTTATTTTGTTTATTTTTTTTCTAATCCTGCCACAGGTTGTCGTGGCTAACCTGCGAGATGAACTTTTCGTAAGCATTTTGTTTTCTTTCTGACTAGGCAAATATTTTTCAGGTGAAACCTGTACCCCAATATTCATATATTACGATTTTTCTTCTTTAAAAAAAGTACTTTTTTTTGTAGGAAGAAAGCACAAGAAGAATGGATGGAATGGATTCTGTGCATATTCTTCCTGGTTATTGCTCTTATGTTGTATTCATTTTGATGGCGCTTCTATGCCTCATGGTAGCTATTTTTAACGGGTCGCATTATGAGGTGAAATCCCTACAAAAATACATTTTTTTATTTTTTTTTAAACTTTTTACACGTTTCTCCCTTTTTCGTCGAAGTATATATATTTTTCCTCTTAACACATAAAAAGGGGAACGAAATTTATGAGGTGTTAAGCTCTTCCAAAAAAAGGTTATGAGCGTTTTTATCCTCATATTTTAAAAGTAGAAGCTTACGCGTTCTAACTTATTTTCTTGCGGCAATGGTGTCGACATATATGCTAATATTTGAACGTTTAACCTATTCTCACCGATGTATTTCTCTTTTTTTTTTTTTTTTTTTTTACTTCACGGGTAAATCCCCAGCAAGGGTTATCACTACATGCACGTTGATATGTTGTCACAATTGTTCACGCACATCTGCCATACCTTTTAAGTAGAAGTCCAGATATTCATAAGAGGTAGAGAGGCACACAGACACATCTGTATATATATCTACCTCTCCGTGTGTACACGTACCTGTGTACAGTTATGCGAACCTATGTACTGTTGAACTAATCGTTTTCCTGCATTATGTGCAACCGGCTTAGTAACCATGCACACACCATCTTCTGTGCACATGTTGTTCTGCCGCGAAGACTCTCTTTTAAATTATCTCTGATTACCAAATATGCGCAATTTTAAATACGAAGGCGTGACACAAATGTGCATTTACTTTTTGTTGGCTTCCACATTGGTCGCCTCCCCCATTTGTTGGCTCCCGCATTTAGTGTCTCCCACATTTGTGTCTGCTTTTCACATTAGTTAACAATATTCACGAACATGCCCACTCGCATGTGAGCAATTACCACCTGGACACAGTGGCACGCAGGTCAGTGCAAGGGGAGAAGCAGCGTGTAGTTTATCCCAACTGATACATATTCTTCCCCCAGTTGGCAATTTTGTAATGTGAAGCAAGCTGGTCAAACTAGGAGTAGAATAAAAACACAGCTTTAACGAACACCAAATTTGGAATAGCTCATTGGTACAGAGAAGAACGATCCCATTGGGACCGTTTGGCCATCTACCAATTAGGGTTTGAATGTGAAAAGAATGATCTATTTTTTTTTTTTGACAACGGGATTGAAGTATCTCTTCCTATTTAACTACACACCGAAATCGCCGATCAGAGTAGCCTTTTAGCATATAAGCATTTTTAAAAAAAAAAAAAAAAAAACTGAAGCAATATGAAGGGAAAAAAACAGAAGAGAGACCCAAATGAAAATGAAGGAAGCCAAAAAAAGGATCCAACAGATTTAAAGAGAAAAAAATATCCCAGTAATGGACATGATTATGATTCGAAGATCAAGGATGAACAGTATGATGAGAATTACAAAATAAGCTCGCCGGAAGTCAATACCAGGAAGAAGGGAAAAAAAGAGGAATTAACTACACATTCAGAGAAGAAAGAAGCCGAAAATGTTCAGTTTCGATCAGACAATAGGGATGGCGAGTACCCATCTAATGGCGAAGGCCCCTCAATGAGTAACGTACCAATGGGGAAGGTGAAAGAGACGCAGAAGGTGAAGAGGGAGAAGCAGTCCATTAGTAAAGGTGAAGGAGAAAAAGGTAATCCGAAAGAGGATGCCAACATGAAGAAAGAAAGCAGAAGGAAGGAGAAAGATCGTATTGATCATTCAGATTCCTCCTCAGGGTTTTTATTAAAAGGGAGAGACATGGCCATAGATGGGGAGGGAGCAGACGAAACAGGCAACCGGACGTTAGGAAGAATGGATAACCGCGTTCCTAAGGAGGGAAAAGAAGAAAAGAAGAAGGAAGAGGAACAGCCACAACAGTTGCAGAAACTGCAACAGATGCAGCAACAAGAGCAGCCACCACCGCAAAATCCGCAGGAAAAGGAAAAGCTAATGATGAAAGAAATTACAAAGTATTACGGACCAGTGAAAGTAAAGAATGCAAACAGCCAAGTTGGGGAGGGAGACATTTTAACCCTCAGAAACAAACTAAACACAAATTTGAAGGTTTCAGATAGTTTCGCTATAGTCCACTTGTCGTCCCCGGAGGATGCAGATAACTATTTAGTGTCTCCGTTTATTTGCGAAACCAGGAAGAGTCTAAAAGCGGAGTGCGTAAAGGGAGGCGCGAAGGAGGTACCCAAAGTAGATGACCACCTTAAGCGCGTCCGATCCAAATTGCCCCTCGAAATAATGGACAATTTAATTTTTAAAAGTAAAACCCATAACTACGACAAGTGGGTACCAGACTGCCGCATCTTACTAGTGACCGGACTACCATTCGACCAAAAAGAAGAGTACATTCTGCATAGTCTAATAGACCTCTACTATCAGAGCCAAGATAGAGACCCTATATTGGAAGTGTTAGACATAGGCAATTCTGATTATTTGCTTGATGCTCTGAATTTATATGCAGCTGTGGAGGAGCATTCGAGCAAGTACGAATTATTCGCAGACCATCTGGGCATTATCAAATTTGGTTTACTTTTCGGATCAAAACATAATGCAAGTATAAACGTGATAGATGACACGTACTTGCTCTTCAACCTCAGTGAACTCTGTAGAGCTAATCCCTTTTCTGTTGGTTCTATTGGAGTACTCTATTTTAAGAATGAACAGTGTGCCAAGAATTTTTGGATATCTTTTAAATTGTCTGCTACTTATATGTATGAAACATGCGTTAGGTTCATCCCAGACAAGAACGAATTGAAGGTCTACATCGAGGCATCTATATATTTTGTCATCCCTGGTTCCCTCTTCGTCAACATAAATTATGCTCAACTCAATTTGGTACTTAACACCTTACAGCACAAGAGACCGGCTGTCTTCGAGCAAATTAATAATGTTAAATTAAGGTATCCAGACAAAACCCTCTGGGATTTGATTTCTGCCAACGTGCCTTTGGATGATGCGATTAATGAGGAGGCCCCTGCACAATCTGCCGTGAGTGAAGGAAGCCTAGAGGGAGACGATCAGCTCAGAGGAACATCTATCGGCCATTTCAGTGGCGGAATGATGAGTCCCGCTGAGGGGGAAATCAACCAAGATGCCCCAAGTGGAATTGGTGAAGAGGAAGATGACAACGTGGTGAACGATGTACTGCAAGATGTGCGAGAAGGAGACCGCAATTATGAGCGGGATTACGATGATAGCCAATCATCCGGTTGGGCAACAGATCAGGTCTTTAATGAATGTGATTTTGAAAACTCTTCTGATGAAAATGATATGCAGGAGATGGAAGACGCGGAGAATACACTTCTGAACAGAATCCACTGTACCCCAAATTTCCTCATGCGCATTTACAATACGCACATCAACAGGTACCTACTGGACAATGACCTCTTCCTGCTAGCATGTCCATACTTAGATGAGGAATCGGGAAAAAAAGTAGCGAACTTCTTAATAAAGCTTCACCTACTAGATTGGACATTTAGCGAAATAGATGATGCATGCTACTTTTACCTTTTCAAATCCATAATAAATGTTTTTGCAGTATCAAAAAAAGTTTTTAATGGAGCCTTTAATTATGAAGTTTCCACACTCTTTTTGAAATTGCCCTTCGGATTAGTCCCGGGTGTTTATATCCGCATGACCCCCATGTTGCCTAGCAACCTGAGAGACCTCCTCTGCGTGACCGACGGCCAAAATGTTGGAGGAAGTGACGGAGGTGAAACAGATGAAGGATGCGAAAGAGGTGGGGGGATCGGCGGAAAAGAAGAAGAATGACGAACACGCAGACACAGACAATTCCGTCCTAACACCAGCTTGAACTCCAAGGGGGAAAAATGCATCTAGAAAAAAGTTAAATAACGAAAGAGCCAATTCACTGGCGAAGGAAACTGTTCAATCGAAGTCCCATGCCATGGATTTAATCCCTGAAAAGGGCTCTGGGTGGGGGGTTGACCTCCGCGGTGAGGGAAGTTCACCCTTGTAGGATAATCCTCATGAGGATAGCAACCTGAGCAGAAACCTTTGTGACAGAAAACACAGCAGCAAATTTTACTGCGCCACTAACTAGAAAAAACTGCCACAGCAATGCTGACCTCACAAAATAGAGGAGAACAAAATAGATGATCACGAAATAAATGATCACAGAATAGATGATCACAAAATAGATGATCACGGAATAGATGATAACAGAATAAATGAACTCCAGGGAAACTTTGGAGAAGAAGAAAAAGAAACTCAACCACATCACGCAGATGTACATAAATAATCGAAGTAACAAAGGCAGCTCCAAAAGTCTGGATCGGCAGGATACATGGCACATATGTTGCGCCTCACCTTTTGCATCTCACCTTTTTTTTTTATTCCGCAAAAGGATCAGCTGTGGGAGGGTGAAGGGCTCGATACAAATCGTGCGTATTCGCCGTGGCACTTGATGAAGTTATCGTATGATATGGGTGATGCACTGACCAGACGGGCGATGCCCAATGTGCCTCACCATCCATAACTCCAATCCCCACGTTGAGTATGTTTTTCTGAAAATTTTATCACACAGGGTTTTTTTTTAAGTCTATTCTTTTTTTTTTGTTTCATTTATTACCCTTTTTAACAGCCGCGTTTATTGTTCCCAAGGGGGCAAAAAAAAAAAGGAAACAAAAACATTCCATCGAATTAAGGCTCTCCCATCCTGCCATGTCGTCATACATATACAAGTGTCTATATGTATGTACATGAGCGAATGGAGGATATGTCTCCCCAACCTTGGTGAGTGAGAAGCAAAAGGAATTCGCTCCGTTGGGGAGTCCTTTCAAGGAGTGTGGTACCCAATTTTGCAGCTCAGACTGCCAAACTGCTAAATTGAAAAGTGAAACAAATTGATGAAGAGAACGGGTGAATCGGTTTTGCGCTTTTTTCAGAATCTACAAATTGGTTATAACAGATATCCACCGCTATGCTCCCCTTAGGGACTATTTTTTTGACGCACTGCAAATACGGTTTAATTGGACTCTTGAAAATGTTTTGTGTAGCCTCTCACTTTTGTGGTTCTTCCCTATTGGGCTTTTCCCAGTGGAATGAAACACAAACGGTTAAACAATATCTTGTCAGCAGTTCTGGTAAGTCTCGAGTGGGGGGATAAATGTGTACGGCGGTTTTTTGTCACCAAATTGAGCACAAAAAAAAAAAAAAAAAAAGGAAAAGGAAATAGGAACAGAAGCGGGAACAACAAAACGGGAGAAGCCAACCAAACGGCACCGCAAATGAGGCAAGTGTAGCAAATCAGATATGCTCGGTACACACTGCAAAGCAGCAGGCCTCACTTGAGGGACTCCACAAAGCTCGACTTGTAAGTAGCCGGGCCAATAGACTCCTCACTGCCAGATTCGGAGATTTTCTGCATTTGTGGCAGCACACTCATCAAAATTAAGAAGAAGAGGAAAATTAAAAAAATGGGACTCTTAAACAAATTAAATAAATAAAAATTCCTTTGGGGCATCAAAAAATCATACACCTTCTCAGCCTCAAAAACAATGTTGGTAACCATCAAGTTGCTCGTTTCAAAAGGGGATATCTGCTCATATGCTTGGACAACGTAAACCTTGTCATTGTTTTTCGTGACGCTCTTTTTTACATTCACTTGGTACTTGCTAAATTCAATGTATGGATGATTAACAAACATGTTGTAGGTTCCTTCCTTTACGTCTGTAAAAATAAATTTCCCATTTTTGTTTGGCTTCTTATATATATCTGAATCGAGGTATACGGTACAATCTGCCAAGACGTTCAAATTCCCTTTGATTGTTCCTTCTATGTAGTTGTTCTTCAACTCAATGGCTGGTCCTTTGCTTTGAGTTATCCCCATTAAGAGTAGGCAGCAGGTAATAGCCACCACAATGGCCCTCACTATGTTCATTTTGCTCGCCAGGAAATATTACCACTGCAGGGGGGTAGCGCGGCAGTTAAGAGGTAGCCTTGCTACAGGTACTTCACATTAACAACTCCTTCTTCGCCACGCGTACAACATATATAATGCTCCTTTTCGTTCGTATCTTCGTTGGTAATACTTTTTCTTTTTCAGTGCCTCTGTATAGTGCGCACTTTTCTTTGCTGTTCCAAATCGACTGACATTCAACCTTGCGCCCTTCCTCCTATTTTAACTGTTCGCTGATGACACGAAAAAAAAAAAAAAAAACGTTTGCACATGGCGAGGAAAAACTAGGTTGGAATGTTCCCCCTTCCTGTTTGCGTTGCATAAGTGGTAACGAAAAAAAAGGTAACAAACTGAAGCGATTGTTTCGGATATATGCTCACGCTGCTCTGTATTTTAAATTTCTTTTTTTTGTTGTTTTTAATGGCAACTCCTGTCACATACATATAATGTATATGGTCATATGCACCTCCCGTTTACCCACTGGGCTGCTCTAAAATGAGAAGCAGTTCGTTTCTATTTTTTTCTCTTTCCACTGTGTAGGTATACATGAAGGGGAGTAGTACATATTATTTTAATTGTGCCCTTCATGCGTCCCCCCTCGGTGGTGTAGCTATCTCCACATCGGCTTACAGATGAAGTAAATTCGTCAAGTATAAGTCAGTGGCGCGCGTGCGGTGTTGGGAACAAGTGGAAAAGGGATAAACTCTCGTGTACGGTAGCAAAATTCACATCCTCTATCACCACGTTGAACTCCTCATGGAGGACATAAATTATACCTTCCAATCTTTAAAACGGGCTCCTAATCGTTGCACTGACCCGATTATGCTATCCCGTAGCCTCTCTTCTCAATGTTCGTAACTTATGCTGCACAGCGCAGGGGGTGTGTTACCCAACTTTTACCAGCCTATGGGCCCCCCTCTTTTTTTTTTTTTTTTTCCCTCCTCAGTTTGGCGGAGAATGAGGTGCAACAATAACGGAACATAAATTCCTACACTTTTTTTTAAAACATTTAATAAAAGGAGGAGTAATTTCTACTGTTTTTTAAAAAGAAAAAAAAGAATAAAAACATGTGCGAAAACATATTGCACATGTACACAATAAATCGTATTAATCGAATCCTCATTTTTTAATTGACATCAAAAAAAAAAAAATGGAATTACACAAAATGTTGTAACTTTAAACACTTTACAGCGGGTGAATGAATTACTGGGGAGGACCAAAAATTGGTGGCAAAAAAAAAAAAAAAAAAGGAAAGGAAAAGCATATAATTTGTCTGCTATGGTCTGGTTTTCTTTCTTTTTTTTACCTACCTCCTTGTGGGTGTTAGGCTTATATTATGGGCCACTGTAATATAACACTTCCTTGAATCTCAAATAAATGCGGCTTGCTGCGTATATAAGAGGGGGGAAAACAACATGGGTCACGACATGGAAAAGATGAAGGGCAAAATCGACAACAAACTCGAAATAACAATCACAAAGGAATGCTACGGTGACCACTTTATTTTGCATAAGTGAAATGACGTGTATACCTATCTTTTCAAAAAGGGTGTTAATATTCTCACCAGTCTGCAAAGAGAAAAAATGTCAGGAAGGATGAAAATTAGCATTTCGCTCCTTTTTTATCAGAATATTTTTGGTTTTCGTTATTCCATTACTTGTAATTCCCCCACTATGATCACCTGGGCATTTGCATACCGCCCGTTTTTCTGCACATTTTCGCATTTTCCCACACGTGCCCATGTTTTAATTTATTTTTCAATTTTTACCTTAGCGGAGCATTCAATAAAGGACACATTTTCCTGTTCGCAGAACTTCATCACCATCTGCAAAGTAAAGGAGAAGGGACAACGTCGCAGTTGTGCGTCGTAAAAAAAAAAAATGTCAGCTCAAAAGAGGAAACAGCCAACAGACAGGGTGAGCATTAATATGGACTGTGCATAACATATGATCCATTTTCTTCGCCATTTTCATTTTTTTCTCATTCTTCTCACCTCTGAATTCAGTTTTTGTGGAAGGTCCTTTTTATTTGCGACCACCATGATGCAGCAGTTTCGCGATCCATTCGACTTTATTTCATTAATCCAGTACTTGAGCGAGTTGAAGGATTCCACGTTGCTGCATATTTTTGGGGGGTTGGGTTGGGGGGTGAAACTCATGGTGCAGATGCGCACCAAGAGATTCCTCAACGTGTGAATCCCGATATGTGCAGCGCACGCGGGGAGGCAAGTCGCACGGACTTACTTAGAGTCATACACGACTATGGCCCCGTAGGCATCGCGATAGTACAGCGGCGCCATGGACCGAAATCGCTCCTGCCCTCCGGTATCCCAAATGTGCAGTTTCATAGTGGCTCCTAAAGGAGAAGCAAAACAGACACTCGATATATCCTATGTCATGCACATCCGTTCATGCGCATTTTGCTATCCGTGAGAGAAGAGAAAGGTACACTACAACACATGACAGTACAACACAATGGAATAAAGAGCCTCTTACACAGAAGAATGTGCACATATAACGATATAGATGTGATCGCGGCCACCTGTGAGTTCTTACTTACCATTTTTAAGCTCAATGGTGTGGTGCAGAAAGGCAGCTCCTATTGTCACCTGGTGCTTATCGGAAAAACGACCGTGGCACAAGTATAGGGCGATACTGGACTTCCCAACTCCACTGTCCCCTAATAAGACAATCTTCACTTTCGTATCGTTTTTTTTTTGCTGCTCCGACCCGGATGTCACGATGTTGATGTTCCTGGTCGATGTGGGTCTCTGTGAACTCGATGTGCATCCCATGCTTGAGCATACAAAAGGCGTATATGTACAAGTGGGGGAGGGGTAGGAATAGAAGGA